AAAATTGTAGTTTTTTTGTTTCTACAGATAACATCTGGAACTACAAAGTACGTTCTACTACATTACCTTTGAGGAACTAGGCAATTTTATCGACTCATCATGTCCGCGTGGTAATAATATAATTAATTGTGTTTATTTTTGATTCTTATAGTTTGAATACGGTATCATAATCTAGTAGTGATTTTTTTTTGTAGAAAAACTGACAATCGAACGGACTGACGAATAAAGTAAAATTTTGTTAGGTTTTTTTGAAATTCTTTATATTTTTATTGTAAATAAAAATACTTAAAAAGATTATCAATATTTGTCCAGTTTAAACGGTTATAGTAAAAATATTTAAAATGCAACGTTGATAACATTTTATTTTTTATATATTACTAGCGACTCACCCTCACCCCGTTGGGTTCGTCCCTAGGTACGTTTTAACGATAAGTATAGAATAGAATCATAGACTATATACTGTTACATACATATATTATTTTTTTCTAACTTAAACCTGACGTATTGTTGTACATGGTAGGTCCACTACTATTGAAAGTAATTCGAGGTAGTGATTCCCATACAAAATAACCAGTTCTGAATTTTTCGATTTTCCAGCTGTTCTTATGGGTTTTTCCTAATTTTTTAATATTTAAACCATCCCTGATATATCTCCAACAAAACAAAAAAAATATATTCAAATCGGTTCAGCCGTTTTTGAGTTTTAGCGAGACTATCAAACATCAACTGATTTTTATATATATATAGATTATACCTGTTCTAATTAGTTAGATACTAATCTCTAGCAATTTAAGGAATTCTGACTAAATAATGATACGATGACGATTAGGAAAAAATAATTATTATAATAGCCGTATCGTATTGTTCATATAATAGGCAGAATTATTTTTGAAAGTTATTTTATTAAACTAAATGTAACTTACACATTGGAAATTAATTTGACATAAGCAAAAGTAATAAAAACCTGTGTTTATACGAGTATTTCAACTTTCTAAACAAACGGATTGATTATGTGTATATTCCCTTGTGGTATTGCCTTTAGAAGCAAACTATTTTTTTCTTTCTTTCCATCAAATAGATATTACTTGGTAATTACATGTGCCACTCACCCACATAGAGCAGAACTGTGCATGACCGCGACTTCACGGAATGCTGCTCGTCTTCCAGCCCGCTAGATAAGTGTCACCGCGTCTTAGCGGGCCTACTTGCACTCTACTTGTGCTTTTAATTACTTACTTTAAACAATCCTTGCTATGGATTACAAGCTAAAGAACGGTATTACAGTGTGTCAAATGATGAGGACTATATTTTAATAGGTTGTGTTTTCTTACTTTTCTTTTTAATTACGGTCTAGTGTCTGCAGCCACACACGCGAAAATCATTTTCCAATAAAAATAGTAAAATAAAGATTGGATAGTATATATTCTGAAATTGTAGATGTCGTCGGTTTTTAATTTTTAATTCACAGTTCATTTTCAATTACTTATCATTGGAAATACTTTTATTGATATTATTTTTTTCTAAATGTATAATTTACTTTTTCAAGATTATCTGTGCAAGCATAGCAGGATTTGAAACAAAGAACGGAAATGACATAAGATATGTATAATTAAAAAATCAAATTGTATCATTTTCTTTGTTTTAATATTGCATAGAGCATACAATATACGTGTATGTAACGATGCGAATGCGACAGTTAGCGTTTTTCTCTGCGCGTACGCCTCGTATCCGGGTCACGCTTGTCACGTAACGGGCTCGTTGATAACGGGAGACCTAGGTCGTAGCGGGATGAGCTACGCGGAAGTGGGATTGCGGACGATTAAAGGCCCTCAAAGCTGTCCGCCGACATTTCTGACGACTAATCGTTGATTAATTCTTGGAAACTTACATTTGTTATGGTTCAGTTGAACTTGTGTAGGTAGTTAGTTTGTATTCGCAGTCATCTTAATTTTTGACGACATTTAGATAAAACTATTTATATTTTGTTGAATTAGCTTTTCAAACGTATCAAAAATACTTATTGAGATTAAGAATGTTATAATTATAATGTTATAATAATATAAAAAATAATAAGTAAGTATTTAAAACATTGCTGTTGGATAATTTCTTACACATATTTTCTTAATCCTCCCTTAGAAATAATTGGTGTTTACGTATGACGTGGTTGCGTCGTGTTGTGGACGAAATAAATTATTTTATATATTAAGCTAACAAATTACAAAGATTCTATATTATTCCTAAGAAATATACCTGCTTATAAAACGGGTTATATATCGACATATCATATCAAAATGAGGTGGGTAAATCCAAATACAAAAGGCATTTTGTTATTACTTATATATATATATATATATATATATATATATATATATATATATATATATATATGTAGGTGTATTTGTAACAAATAAATTGACATTTTGACTATACAGTGATCAAAAATTGTAAAGAAAGAATAAAAAAATATCTGTACTTCATCGTAGGTGTCTAAAATATAGGTACCTACTCGTAATCTAAATATTTTTTAAATATAACTAAGAAAATTGCTTTGATGACAATAGAAATTCCTAATATCATATATATATTTTTTTTTGGAGTTTGATAATAATATATGTGTGTAAGTACCGGTTCATTGATTTTACTCTAAAATAGTACACGAAGAGGCGTCAAATGTAAAGCTTTATTATATTTTTATTTTAAATTGGCTAAATAAAATGAAATTACCCATCTATATATTTTTTACCCAGTTTCTATACATCACATTTTTTCCTGTTTATGTTAAAATATTCTTTAAGTTAAATAGTTATTAAAGGTGGGGTTTGTTAAAATGATATTAAGATTTAGAAAATGTATTATACTATAAAATTTCATTACATTATTCGTTTCGATTACGGCTATTTTAGGATTTACTTCATACGTAATGGCTTGTAATGAAATTATAAGAAAAAATATTTTTTCTAATTGGAAATAGAACTTACTTTGCAAAAATAAAGGCTCGTATTATTGTTTTAGCCGAGCCAGAAAATAAAATAACTAAGTACTAGGTAGTGTATACTAGAATGTAAAATTGTGACGTTTTTCTGATTATCATAAAAAACAAATAGACTAACTGCTAACTTCAAAAATATTTGCCTTTAAAATTTCAGAAAAAATAATAGAAAAAATGATAAAAAAACTACCTAATGAGTTACGTTTGGAAATTAAACAAATGATATAGAGTTTTGTTATCAAAATTATATAACAGTTTAAAATAAACATAACAAACTGTGGAATATTAATTTGTCAATTAAAAAAGTATCAATTTGACTGTTGGAGTAAAAAGTGTCGTGGGGCCTGTTATTTAAATGGGCATAATGAAACGGTTGACGGTTAGGTAGCAGCGGGGCGAGCGCGGGCGTCGGGGCAAAGAAAGCAAGTTCACTGCCACGGTCGGAGCGACAACCTTGCCGCTACCTTCGTCTCACTATTAACATTTATCTAGTGCCAAATGATGATTACTTATGCATACGACTGTCTTGTCATAACGTCTTTAAATGTAGTTTAATGAAAATTGTAGATATGCCTTATCTATACTAATATTATAAATGTGAAAGTTTGTGAGTATGGATGTTTGTTACTCTTTCACGCCAGAACGGCAAAACGGATCGGGATGAAATTTGGCACAGAGAAAGATTATAGTCTGAAATAACACATAGGCTACTTTTTATCCTGGTATTAAAAAAAACTCGATTAATTAAAGTTTATTATTTATATTACTATCTTTTCGGACTATTTCGCGGATATATTTAGATTTTTGTTTCCCGACCCTTACCTTTGAATACTGTACAGCAATCATGGTCACGGAAGAAGACACTAAGGTTTTAGATGTTTCAAAGGTGAAGCTAATAATGGCCTTTTGAACCTGATGATAGTTTTATTTAAAATGTCAAATATTCGCCTAAATCTAAGAGAGTATTATACTTATTTTGTTAATTCATAAAAGTTGCTAGAGTCATAACCAATTTTTTTTAATTTCGCCCCTTCTTCCTTACGTCGTCCACGTAGATCAGACACGTTACAGTAAAAGCTGTATAGGCTAAAAATACTTGGCATCAAAAACAAGATTTCCATGGATTATTTTTGTAAAATAGGAAATTTCTTAGATTATGGTTTATGTGAGTATTGAGGCAATTACTTGACCTGAATATTAATTAGAAGAAAATACATTAGAAAACTCGCCTCAATTATCTATATACATATATAAAAAGTGTAACTGATCGCTGTCTGTACATGAAAGATATTTGAGAAAAACTAAAACTATTATTCTTGGTCTTTATTTAAGTAATAGAATTCAAATCAATGATTTTCAAAAATTTTGTCTGTTTATCTGTGCGTTTATGCGCGATATTCTCAGAAACGGCTTAACTGATTTGGGTGCGGTTTTGACTAATGTATTGTGGTTAGCTTCACTTACTATTTAGTATTTGTTTTGTTTCAATTGGTTTATAAATAAAAAAAGTTGTGTCAATTTAAAGAATCACCTAGGGACGAAGCTGAGCGAAGCGAGATTAAATCGCTAGTATAACAATAAAAAGATACAATAATAATATATAATAAATACCTATTATTACGTACAATGATATTCGGTTAACGTATTAAATCGGGATTTTAGATGATATGCTTAAGAATTAAAACTCTCAGATGTAATATTTTTAAATTTCAATATCTAGTATGGACTTCACACACTCCTGTTATGGTAATTACAATCCTTTCGAGCAGCTACCTTAAGCGCGGTTTATTTAATACGCGCTTGGAATAATAATGCTTCGCCTTTACCAACCAAGCACCCTGATTTTGTAGGAAAAACATACTTTTATTCGATGACTTAAGTTTTTAATTTATGAATTTAAAACATTTTTTTAATATTTTATGTTTAATATACTGTAAGAAGAAATGTATGGTATATTAAATCTCTGAAATGCAGACAGACTTGAACATTTCGAATTACCTATTGGGAGTTACCTTGAGTTTATTCCAGACGTCGCATTCCGAAGCATTATGGTCTGTGGACACCTACATATTACGTAAAAAGCTGAATCACTGCACAGAAATGCTATGAGCAAGCCAGAATCAACCGCCATCATATGTGAATCAGCGTGGCCGGAAACTTCGCCATGTTGGCTCACCGCCGCCATGTTTATCGCGTTCCGGAAGTTGCGCGCGCGCCGGCCGTCTTTAGACATCATTTCCACAAACCGCGCGGGCTACGAGTCGGAAATATTCAGCGGTTATTTTGGTTGCCGACGTTTTTCCGCTTCGTGCAGACATCGACGGAGTTAATCATATATTTGACGACGGTATCGTAAGTATTTATAGACAAAATCACCTCAGAACGCATTTAGAATCTCGTAATTTTGTCTAAGACGTTGTTTGTGGTGCTAGTTGCGTAAATCTTTGGCGTGAGTAATTCTATTTTCCTATACATAAGAATGCGATCGTTTACAGTTGTCTTGTTTACTTATAAACTAAATAGCATAAATGAGCAAAGGCGCCCCGAGTATCTTAAATGAGAGTAGGAAACTAGAAATATTATGAACTCGTTAGAATTACGGCTGTGGCTGCGTCACATATTTGCATGAAATGAATGGTGCGAATTACTTTGACAATAATCCAGATTGTATAAAATACCTAGGTACTATATATACATATGTAGATGAACAATACAAACCATAAATAGAATACTAAATGTGAGGTGTCGATGGTCCAAGTATCATATATTTGACATTCGTGATTTTATTATTTACAAACTTTGCATTGAATTCCGATAAGGGATCTACTTCCGACTATGTTAACATGTATTCAATACGTGTGATGGTTTCAAACAATCTTAGTTAATACAAAACGGTCACGCCGTAGTCTGATGATAATTAAGTTTTTAATAGTGTTCTGATAGTCATGTACAAAAACTTTTGAAGACTTTATTTCTTACTGTTTGACCTTCTCAAGTCGTAGGTAGTAATTGCACTTTAATAAATACAGTTGCTAGACACCGGATGTATATGTATTATGTACCTACCTATATTATACCTCTTCGTATATACGTGTGTTAATGGAATACCTACTAGTTTTTAGGACAAAAATCCTTAATATATACTGTACAGATGATTCAAATATCATTTGAAACTTTTGATATTTTTACATCAAAAATTTATGAGAAATAAAAAATGGAATATTGATTCATTACAAAATCTGACTAAGATTAATGTACCAAATGATTTGAGCGTCGCGTCGCTGAGCCTTCTTGCTCTATCTTTTATTTAACTTGGCTATAGCGTGAAAAACGTAATTTGTATAAGTATATTAACTATTCTGAAAATGGTTGAAACCATTTGTTTTGCTTATAAATGAGGATAAAAATCAAACAATTTAATGTAAAAAATATATTTGACTTTCAAATATTATACGAGTTATAAAATAAATAATAATTTGTTATTTTAATGTATTTTATATACGTATTTTATATAATATACGTTACATAACAACATATTTATGCTTATAGAAGAGGTTGCACTTTCTTGATATGTCATTTTGAAGTGATCATCGTTGGAGTGCTGTGCGCTCGCGCACGGAGGTTGTAGGAATGTGGTCGGACTGGAGCGGGATGGGGAGGTTGAGGGACAAAGGCTCTGGAACTGGTTTCGCTTCCTGTACGTGTCGGATGTCCTGCGGCTTCCTGCCCCTACCCCGCCCACCGCCACGCAACGGGTTAATAGGCAGGGCTGACTTTAATTTCAAAATATATGTATAAGATTTTCTTTAAAAATTTAGGTATCTATATTTTGTTATCGATGTTTTAAAATTATCGTAATGATAATTCCGATTTATTTATTTAAAATTCTGTTACATCTATTAATTACCTATTCGTTGGCGGAAATGTTTTGCATTATATGTATAAAAGGAATGACGCTGAAATAGGGAAGCTTGCTGTACAAGAATTGTGTCCAATTAAGGTAAAAAATATTTATAGAATGTTATAAAGAAGGATTTATGCGTATTCCTACTTCTTGGAATAATAATCAATATATTTACATCCTAAATACTTATATAAATAAGACAAACACATTCACTTAAAAACCTCTGCAGTGTAGTAAATAAGTACATTAAATAAAACATTAAAGGGTTTTGGCGGGAGTAGTAGGTACCACGGGGTACTGGTAAGGGTGAAACTATGATTCTAAAAGATACATTTTTAAGGTGTTTTGCTTATTTCTACGTTATTGTTTAAGGGATTGTATATTAGACTAGCATTGCCCGCGGCTCCGCCCGCGTTCAGATGACCAAAAACCAAATTCTTAGGTTTTTCATATTAGTATACTCATACATTGCAGTTTTTGTATTTTTTCTAGAAATTAGATATTTTCGCGCGGTAAAAAGTATCCTATATGTTGACCCAAATAACCAGCTATCACCTTACGAAATTTCATCAAAATCCCTCCAGAGGGTTTTTCGTGATGCGGTAACAGACAAGACAGACAGACAAAAATTCTAAAAACTATAAATTCGGCCTCTGTATCGCTAATAATGTCTATTCATATAAGATTTTCCAAAAAATATTTAATGTACAGATTCGGCTTAGTTAGAATTTTATCACACGCATGTAGACGTTTCACGGAATTCTTAACATTAAACATAGACGATACTAGATAAATGTTTTCTAACAGTATTGAGACACCTAACTTTAAGAATGGTTTTATAGGGTGAAGTTTAAGTTATCGTCAATATTTATTTCGTTTTATGGGATTAGGATTACTATATGTTCCTTTTTCTTCCATGTTATTATTGTAAAAAATTTGACAATATCTTCTTTCTCGTAGATGCATTTCTTCGTAGAAACAATTTGCCCCACAGCTAATAAAAAGCATTTTTTTTAAATTTGAAAACGTATGGAAGCATATAATATACTTTTTTGGGTATTGTAGAGTTTGCAAACAAAAATATCATAATAGTACTCATTATCTTTTCTTAAGTATGGCAAATTCGCGATATCTCGGGAAAATTGGACAGTTTTGTCATTTTTGCAAATTTTTTTGATATTCGTTGCCGAATGGTATTTCAGATTTGCATATTATATCTTAGGTATTTGCGTTTTATAATACTTTATTAAAATCGTCAACCTATTGGAAAAATTAACAATATTAAAGCTTTTTAACTATTACTATAACCTTATAACAAATACATATTATGATAGCTTAATATATAATTATATAGAAATCTTAATTTTTGACAACCCTGCAGCTCAGAGGCAGGACACGCACGATTGAGGACAGTCTCTTTGTTTTTGTTGCGCTGTGGTCACTGTAATATAACACGAGAGCTGTCTCCGGGATAAACTACTATATAGTGAATTACTCCACTGTGATATCTTAACTTGATACTTCACTGCTACGATCTGAAACTTATATACTATGCTCATGCTATGCATTAAAAATCTTATTTCTCTATTTATTTATTTACTAAGAACATTTATTCTACTTACAAACAAAATAATAAGTGTGAAAATGAGTTTTGTCGGAAAGATCGTCTAACATCATCATATCTTATAGGCAAAAGAAATCTTTCATCCATTCTGTGGTATTAATGCAGGGGAACACACAAGTCATATTTAATTCTATAATAGATGTTTGAATATTTATGAAGACTTATGCGCAAGAATATTTTGATATGCACTTTGAAAAGAAATAACAAGTTTAAGTTTTGGATTTTGAAAGAATTATAACTATTCAATTAATCAATTGAAAGGATTGTTCTACCTGGACAATAGAAATGTTAATGTTAACCAAAAAATTTAATTATTATAAATAGATAGTTAAGAATAAACGATTGTTTTATTATCGTACTTGTTACATAGTATTTCTCTAGTTGAATGACCCTGACCGAATCACTACACTTTGAGGACGGAAGTTTTTAATCTATTCCCGATTAATTTTTTTAAATTCAACGTTCAGGAAAGTACCAGAGGGCGGCAAAGTTTCTATGATAAATAATAGTTTAGGGTGCAGCCGGGTGAAGCCATAGTGTTAGCTATGTAAGGTGAATTACATGTTAAAATTAAATCAGGCTCAGCCTTTTTTTAATATTGGGAAATAACTTTAAGTATACCAATTGCTGCATACAGGTGGTTATGTGGGACTCATTGTCTAGAATAATCAGTACTACCCACTAAAACCCAACAGAACCTTCCCCGTCTTAATGGGGCGTCGCAGGATCGCGACGCCCTAACGGCAGGTCGCCGAAGCAGACTACGGTACTCTCATGGTGCATCTTGCTGTCAGAGAAGTACCAGGAGGAACCTGCACTGGCACACCATCAACCGTAGAAGTAAGCCCCCTCCCCCTCTCCCTCCCTCTCCCCACCATTGTGTGTTCAACACATCGGAGGGGATTTTGTTTCGATATACATATAATGTACAAATATAAGTAATTACCTACTTACAAAATAAGATCATATATCATCACTCATGCCATTCTTGTTCGCAGAATTCAGTCGCCATTGTTGATACTGAGGAAGGAATTTGTAAATAAATAAAGATTAATTCAGTTACAGCAATCGTGGTTTCATAATAAATTGTTATTTATTGATTTTGTAATCTCAACCTGTTTATGTTGCATGAGCAATGCATTTTTGCAATTGTTAACTTGTCACGCTTCATGTCACATCAAGAATAATAAGAGATGAGATGATTTAGAAACACCTACAACAGATATTATTTTGTCTACGTTAAAGTGATTAAATAGGTACTATAAGTTATTACCTAATATGTTAATTTACACAAAATAAATTAAAAACAAACAATGAGTTTTTTATATTGTAATTATTTTTGTATTCTTATTTCTTAAACAATATTTATCTACCATTTCCAAGAGATATATTTAGTGAAAACGTCTGCCATTCTATATTTAAGTAATACTCCAAATATCTGTTCTGCGAAGAGTTGCAACAAATACTACAGGCGCGAAATTTACTAGCACTTATAGTATTTAGTTTGAGCGTAATATATTGTAAGATAGACGATAGATGGTATGCGCGATGTATGACTAATGTTTAAAAATATCTACGTTGTTCGCATCCGTTTCCTCAGAATATTTCTCCCCGCCATCACCACGAAGGCGGTCCGCAGCGCTGAAACAATGCCGTCGAACATTTCCGTATCGTCACTTGCTAGCTGTTTTCACGCACAAGGCCTATG